AGCAGTGAAATAAAGCTGAGTCACTATTTGTCCGACTGTACAGGTAATTTGTATTTTTTTCATAATCATTTTTAATTTTCTCCCGTTCACGGTGGGCGGTGCTAATCTCCGCAATTTGAAGCCTTCTGTTCACGTTGATGATTAAAATTATTATTTGACAGTACATTACAGAAGTTATTTGTTGAAACGTTTCTAAAGTACTTTTATTTTACTTTATTTGTGAAACAAATGGTTGAGACTGTAAAATGGTTTGTTCGTTCTTTCTCTTCTTTTTCTGAGTATTTAATTGTAAAAAAAATAAAGATTTCTACTTCACGGATTTTGCCTATCACGGGTTCTTTTTGGAACGTAACCCCCGCGAAAAACAAGGGTTTACTGTACAGTATTAAACACTACACCTACACCAGAATGCATGCATAATTTGTAATATTAGGGTAAATTTGGTACAGCCCTATAGAGAAGACAAAATATAAAAGGTTCAAGAAAGAAAGAAAACCGGGGGGAAAAGAAGACCAAGAGGACAGAGGCAAACAAAAAGGAAATCAAAACGCTCTGAGACTTTCTCTCACCTCTCCTGAAATGCGGTCAATTTTAGCAGTGGGTGCGGGATTCTGGTGGCTCAGCTCTGGTCGGGGGACATCGGGGACCGGCTGTGCTCGGCGTGGCCTGCAGTGAATGGATGGTGAAGGTGGAGTAAAGTCCAGACTTCATGTAGTCATTTCTGGAACTTTTCTGAGAGCTGTTGGAGGACGAGCGCTGCAAGTCAAACAGAAAGAAGAAACAGTTGATGACGACATTATTGAGACAAAGGCCCTCACAACAACAACGACGACAAGTCTCCGCAAACCTGTGGTAAGGCTTTTGCCCGACCTGCCGAAGCCGTGCCCCCGGGATATATCGCTTGGCTGCAAGGCTCAGTGTCGTCCTGCCTTTGACCTTCGTCGCCGTTTCTCATGCCCTCAAGTTGGGATGGGTCAGGTTGACTCACAAACTTATAAACAAAGTTCTGCCCGCTCACTTTCTTTATGATGTTCTGAGAGGACAAGGAAAGACAAACGAGAACCATGACTAAAGACGGTGACATTTCTCTTGTTGCACAACAACAGAAGAGAGACAGTGCAGTAAATCATGCCCTTGAACTAATGTGATCAACCAATGGGACGCGTGCTAGTCCTGGTAGAACTTAGTTAACTGTATCTGTCGTGACATTTTTTTTTTTTTTTTTCTTAGTTGAACTCGTGCCCTGATTTAAATTCTCAGAAGTACTTGGTTGAGGACCCAGGTCAAACTTCATGGTATTTTAAGCGACATTTAATGCTACTTTAGTGCAAAATAATAACGGTAGCTTAAGGCCCTGTAAATGTTGTTCTTACAGTAGTCAGTACTCTAGCGGTAATATTTGCAGCGTACCTTGTCATAGTAATATCTTAGTGCTCGGCTTAATTTATTGTAGTCCATGTTGTTCTTGTTCTTACGCAGCCCCCACAGTCGAGCCACCTCTTTAGCGTCCAGCAGTTTAAACTCTCCGTCCTCTCCGGTCCAGGAGATGAGGTGACGCTGACGCTGGTCCTCCAGTAGGTGGAGAAGAAACTGCCATAGGGTGATGGACGGATCCATGCCTGCACCATCAAGCGTCAACATGTGTGATGTTAGTTAAATCATTTTACACAGCAAAAAAAAAAAAAAAAATCCTAAGCAAAGATGCCAAAAGGACAAACCTAGATGACTCTACAGTCAGGGCTTTTATCAGTGGTAAAAAAAAAAAAAAAAATCTCAAGGACTGACTGTCTAATTTAAAGTCACGATATAAAAATTGCTATGAAATAAATAGTCATCAGTTTGAGGAGTATGGATTCTGTATAACAATCGGAAATCTGGCATTGTCATATTGGCAGCACAGAGTGTCAAACAGGAGACTAACACGGAGCACCAACATGGAGTGTGGCAAAGAGTAAGCAGTGGTATTTTTTGGAAATCTTGCACTCCAAATACCCGTTGAAGAATAAAGTTACAACAAAGGAGCAGTTGGCTTTCAACTGAATAAATGATCTCAACAAAAATAACAGAGGATGTGCTGGAACACACTGTTTTAGGTGTGTAACACTTGTCAGTGGTCAAATACCAAGGTTTTCACCGCCTACTTGGAACACTTCAAGCCAAGGTACCACTTGGCCTAAATTGCACAGGATTGTGTGCAAACACGCTGAAGTGTTAAAGATGAAATCCGGTAAAAGGTAAAAATCAACCACTCAGTGGTAACTTGGTAAAAGGTAAAAATCAACCACTCAGTAGTAACTTGGCAGCTAGCGGACTACCACACTACCAATGAGGTGCACTGATTTCTGTTTATTTAAATGACGTTTGGTTTTTTTTTTTGATCAAGTAAGTTAAGAGTTATTGTTAAAGTTGTTTATTCTCCATTTCAGCTATAGTTTACATATACTTACATACTTGTTCATACATTTCAACTGCTATATATTTTACATTGGATTTTATTTCCAGTTTGCACTGATGTATTTTATTATACGTTTGAGTGCTGTTTTTTAAGGCTCTTAAGACACTGACATTTCCGAGAACATAACTCATTATTTGGCTCATTGATTTAACGATCATTAAACGGTCGGAGACAACCGTTAACAAAAGAAAAAACAAAAAACCTTGTGCCTCTTAGCAATCCTCTTAGCAAAGAGACGCATGACGTTTTGCACATTTTTTGTCAACATTTACCATTATGATGTTATATTTAGGTTACACCTGCAGTCTACCGACTACCACTTCATGATTGTTGATTTAGTTCCAACGGCTTATGTAAGTTATCAATGTGCTATGACAATGTGTGGAATTGTAATTGATACAATTACAGTGAGCCTGCAGGGGGTGCTAAAGGACAAAATGTACTCTCTGAAGAGCTGGGTCTCCGAGAGCTTTTTGAAGATATGTGACGACAAAGGCGATAAACGGTATCCTCCGACAATTCTTCTTGCCGTCAGTTACACCATCAATTGACGCAAGGCTAAGGCAAACAACTTATTGGTTTCTCAAGGATGTGCCATGTAAGCTTTGCTTTTATAAACACAAACAAAGTGGCTTTTTATTCGTTGGGTTGTTTAAGGGCAGTAAAAGGAAGAAGAGAGAGAGCAATGACAGGTGCCTGTTCGGCAGGAGGTGGAAATAAACAAAAAATACACAACAACAAACACACCGAGTAGCAGATATACACATACACAGACACCCTTGTTTGTCCTGCTGAGCTGTGAGTTCCAGTCAGAGCTCGGGTCCTTGAATGTACTGTATTACCGACATCACTCGTACCAACGGTCGCCAAAATGCGTCAGTGTTACCATGGCAGTATGACTATTACATCACTTACTCACACGCAGAGTGGTCTCCACGGCAACACGCAGATACCCATCAGACATTTCTAACGTATTTCTAATCACAAAAATACATCTAGTTTCCTTAGCAACATATACGAATCTGGAGGCTAAACCAATATCAGCTTAGATAACTTACTCCGAGCAGTTATGATGAAGTTGAAACTTGATTGCCATCAAACCCCAAACTGATCAAGGCAAAGCATTGGTTGAGGTGACGTGAGGACATCCCCCTAAAAATGATAACTGCAACCAAAAAAAACAGCGGCAGGACTCTGCACTCCGCATCGGTTCGTCAGCAAACTCCCAGCAAACTCTCAAAGGACCTGCGCCGCTCCAGCGTAGTCAAGAACGAAGGCTTTAGATTCATGATCAAGACAATTGAGCCATAGCACATACCGTCGCGTCAACCTTTTTACAGAGAAAGCGGTACCTCAGCTTCATGAAGAAACAAAGGCAAAAGGTCTCGGAAGCCCTGGCCAACGCGACCAAGGTAGCTCTGACTACATCACGGACACCCGGCAGCTTGAGTCTGGCGTCTGGGTGATGCATGAAAGCCACACACGGCTGTGAACACGGATGAAATGTTTCACTCTGTCGCAGATCAATGGAAGCTAACACTAGCGGATTCGTCGATTGTTACAGACAACGCTGCTAATATACTTGCTGCGGCACAGATAGACAATTTGACACATATCAAGTGCTTTCCACATACTATAAATCTCGCCGCTCAGCGAACTCTGAAGTTAAATTCAGTGTCACGGCTATCGGTAATCCACAAAGACCTGTGTATGACAAAATTATGGTTGAACAGTTCTGTTAGGCAACTGGGTGTGAACGTTCTCAAAGAAGACGTTTTGCCTCTTAGATCAACCTTGTCCATGACCTGGATCACTGAGACTCTTTATGGACATGAGAAAATGATATTTGACTGAAACTCACGGAGTCAGTGGAAAAACAACCAAGTGTTAGCCAGTGATGGGAAATCTACTCATTATTGTTTCTCTGGCTCCTATGAGGCCTTGAAAAGCTGTATCCACATACTCCCCGTTTCTGAATTCCTGTTTGGCCACATACTCTCACAGGTGGCATTTGTACCGAGGCCAACGTGTACTCATATTCTTGATTCATTTAAAGCTTCATTAAAGCTTCAACCATAACCTTCAATAAATTCTCCAATAGACTCTTTCGAACGAACAACGTTGTTCATTTTCTGTTTTACTCTTTATTCCAAGGTGACCATTGACAAAACTGCCCAAACACATGGCAAAGAGATACACGAGTGTGCAGAATGGGACAATTCTTCACACAGCCTCGACACTCGACGCCGGGTTCAAAGCACTGACCTTTCTCGCAAAAGATGAACAGCTTGACATCCACGCCAAAGTGACAGCAGAGGCTGCAGCACTTACTGTATTTTATATTAAATATTTATATATTTGTTCAACTTGCAATACGCTGTTACAAAATATTTATTTAGAATGGGACAGTGTACAGCTCAAACATAGACATTACCGTTTGATGCAATACACCAGATGGTAGCTTAAAGGTGATCTGCATCTGTAGTCCCTTAGCAAATCACAATAAAAATAGAAGAGAACAAAAAATAAAATGGAGAAAAACGGTGCACGAAGAAAATTTAATATGACCGCTGACTTCTTCTACAGAACGAGCGGACACGAGAGACGAGGCGGAGACCTGGAGACCTAAAGCATCCGCCAACTCCTGGACAGTCTGTGGTGCAACTTGGCGTTGGTGGATGGAGCGAGACATGATGTCCCAGATGTGCTCAATTGGATTCAGGTCTGGGGAACGGACGGGCCAGTCCGTAACATCAATGCCTTCGTGTTGCAGGAACTGCTGACACACTCCAGCCACATGAGGTCTAGCATTGTCCTGCATTAGGAGGAACCCAGGGCCAACCGCACCAGCACATGGTCTCACAAGGCGTCTGAGGAGCTCATCTCGGTACCTAATGGCAGTCCGGCTACCTCTGGCGAGCACATGGAGGGCTGGGCGGCCCTCCAAAGAAATGCCACCGCACACCATTACTGACCTTGCGCTCAGTGTGAACCCCGCTTTCATCTGTGAAGAGCGCAGGGCGCCAGTGGCGTACTGCCAATCTTGGTGTTCTCTGGCAAATGCCAAACGTCCTGCACGGTGTTGGGGCTTTGGACGTCGGGCCCCTCATACCGCCCTCGTGGAGTCTGCTTCTGACCGTTTGAGCAGACACATGCACATTTGTGGCCCCGCTTGAGGGTCATTTTGCAGGGCTCTGGCTCCTGTTCCTCCTTGCACAAAGGCGGAGGTAGCGGTCCTCCGAAAGGGTTGTTGCCCTCCTACGGCTTCCTCCTTGTCTCCTGATGTACTGGCCCGTCTCCTGGTAGCGCCTCCATGCTCTGGACACTACGCCGACAGACACAGCAAACCTTCTTGCCACAGCTTGCATTGATGTGCCATCCTGGAGGAGCTGCACTACCTGGTTGTAACCTCCGTCTCATGCTACCACTATAGTGAAAGCACCGCCGGCATTCAAACGTGACCAAAACATCAGCCAGAAAGCGTCGGAACAGAGAAGTGGTCTGCGGTCACCACCTCCAGAACCACTCCTGTGTTGGGGGTCTCTTGCCAACTGCCTATAATTTCCACCCGTTGTCTATTCCATTTGCACGACAGCATGTGAAATTGATTGTCAGTCAGTGTTGCTTCCTAAGCGGACAGTTTGATTGACTTGGAGTTACATTGTGTTGTTCAAGTGTTCCCATTTTTCTTGTACTTTTCGGTTACTTGACTTTGTCGAGCTACGCATTTTGTTATGTTGGCAGCAAAAAAAAAACAGAACTAACGAAACTTTAAGACCTGGAGTGTTCATGGAATTTTACGCAGGCATAATGCTGCGAAATTAATTAACGCGCAGTAACGATGATAATTAAGATGTCGTGATAAATTCTCTGACAATGATCGTACCAATGAAATCTATAATCGTGACTTAGCTACTTGCAAAAACTAACTAACTTTTCACTATTTTTTTTTTTTTTCATTAAAGGGTTTCTACATATTCATCCTTAACATTGTGGTGGTAACCAACTCATCTAATACAATGGAGCTTCAATGCTCAATAACAATTTGTTTCAGTTTTACACTGAGCATCACCTTTTTAAACAGCAGGTTTAAACACGCTACCAAGCTAACCAATCAAGCGCACAGTAGAAGTGAGTCTCAAGGTGAAAGCTCCTTCACATTTCTCTCTCTCTCTTTCTCTCTCTCTCACAAACACACATGTATACACACAGGCACAAATAAACAAATGCACATGCAATTACCCATCAGGTCTTACCGTTCATTTGTTCCACTTCTGTAGAAATTGTGGATTCCTGAAGAGATCAGAGATCTTCCATGCTAATTGTTGGCATGCCTTGTGTTGTTGTTGTTGTTGTGGAAAACTGAAGGGAGATACATTCTACCTCTGAAGCTCTGCTGCCCTCATGTCGAACAGTGACCAGCTACAATGTAGACTAATGAAGACAGCGCCGACCTTCACGGCTAACTCCCTGGTGCTGAAAAAAAAAAACAAACCAATAGGCTGATCACAAAACAGTGGGGAACTGTGAAAGCATGATGTGTACAAAAATGAGAACTAAGTGGCTAAATAACATATAGCTTCAAGGTGAAGTGTCAAAAATACCAAATTAGTAATATAGTAATAATTAGCTTTCTTGGAATCGTCTCGTAAAAAAAAAAAACAAAGTGCAATACCTTTTGACCTTCTCTGCACTACTGGCAATTTCCAAAATAGTTGAATCTATACTACATTTCCAGGGCTTAAAAAACTGCTGCTATTTGATCAAGACTTTAACGACTGTTTCTTAAACAGTTATTGCAATGCTTCTCAACTTCTTGAATTGTGCTAAACAACCTGGTCAAAAAAATTCCACAACCACCTCATCATTTCTACGCTTACACGGGTACGTCAGCTGTACAAATGACTTTTCCACACTTGCGCCATACTATTTCTCTGCAAATTCTGTTCAAAAACTTGCGCCATACTATTTCTCTGCAAATACTATTTGCCTTCCATCGAATTAGAACATTTCCATCACTGTTCTTAATCCACCTGACCTGCTAAGCGTCCTTACCAACTTCATAACTGTTTATGTAGCCTTCACAAATTCCTTTCGTAGAACACCTAAGCCTTAACATTGGCTACTGCTCTCTTCAGACTCTTGGACGATCCGGATCAATAAACAGTCGAGCAGCTGTTTTGAACATTAACAGCATATGCATTACGGCAATTGTACACATGATTTTTATATAACAGGGCACCATTTTCAGCTAAATTAAAATGGTACAGATGGTGGCAATTGGTGGGCTAACAAATTGGGTTACCTAACTTGGAATAAAGTAGTTGTATGCATTTTAGGCTAACAGTGTTATCGTTAGGCTAGATGGCTAATTTAGCGTAGTTTAGCATCAGGGTAATTGCCAGAAGACCATTATATAAGTAATAAATACTTGGAACGACCACTACCGATGCTAGCCTCTACTCTCTTGCGGTCACTACCGCAGCTACTCAAACACCAACCTGTCGCTGAAGTTTTTACAAGTTTGTGGACGTTGGCCTAGCGTGATAGCAATTAGAGTAGCATCCTCCCTGCGCTGCGTCAATCCATGGACAGTTGCTGTCGTTGCTGTCGGGCAGACGAGGCTCGAAGCTTCGACTCCAAGCCGAAGTAGTGGATAACGATTGCCGGTGATGAATTAGAGTCGGCGAGCGGAAAGCAACATTCTCCTGCGGAGAAAAACTTCATCCCTCAGGTGTTTTTCTACCGCATCTTCCTGTTTAGAACTAGACGCCCCCTCACTCAAACCTCGTCAAGTTGAAAGTCAATAACACTACCGACAGACTTCCGGCAAGCACTACAAAAATAAAGGCGTGTTGAGTGTAGCGTGAAAGTCCATCCATCCATCAATTTTCATCCGCTTATCCCTTACCGGGTCGCGGGGGTAGCAGTGTCCACGACCGCCACCCAAATAACACTGCACCGTATAAATTCCCTGAAGGGAACTCCTGAGGGATTAATAAAGTGTTATCTATTTGTCTATCTATCTATTAGCATTTTAAATTATTTCAAGCCAAACCTGGTCTTACTTACCAGCAAATTCCACTATTTTGTGACATCACCAATCTTGCAATATAAGCTACGCAATATTGTAAGCTAACTTTTCTTCTTTCTTTTGCTATAATTTATACCAAACGTTTAGTTTTGCTATAGTATTTGTGCAACTTTTTGGTCATGTTAAGGCTAAGACAACTTTTATCTTGTTTGTGTTTAGTCCATTTGAGCTAAACTGCGAAATCCACCTTGTTTGCTAAATTTAAGTGATTTTACAATATCTCAGACAACACTATTAGCATTTTTTCTGTTTTTTTTTTTTTTACCATTTAACTAAATTCCTCTTTGGCCTAACTTTGAATGACTTTGCCATATTTATTATAAATTGTTTCAATTAATAAGTTTTTGAATAAAATTGTGAGAAAGTAAAAAAAATTACACATTTGATGTAAATTTGCTTATTTATTTCTTAATGACACGATTTTCATCACAGTAATTCTTATTTTTAAAATCAAATATAAAGGCAACACTGTAGATATATTTTCAGATGACATTTGTTAACCCTGTGTAAGACGATGTAATGTGTTTAACACAGTTACTTAAAACATTTGTCTACTTCTTTGTGGAGGTTCCTGCACACTCAGAGGCATTTCAAAGGCTGCAATGCTCAGCTTCAGTCCTGCTGACAAAACATGTCTCAAAACATGTCTGCTACAGCCCCACCAGCGCCTGATTTCGCAGCGAATGCTCGTGCTGTACACCGGTCAGGTGGAGAATTAAACTGTTCCTCTTCAGATGTGAATTATTAGTTTCCCACCTAACCACAGTAGCTAGAAAACATCCCTTCTGTGTGTCTCGGGCAGGTCCCTCATGCCCTGCAGCTCCCTCAGACCCTGAGGAAAAGAGAAAACAAAATGACTCGACAGCCAAGCAGATGATTCAGACTCTTGGTAATATCTGTTTAAAGACTTGTTCAATTGATAAATCTTTGGAAAGACCTTAACGCCTGCATAATAATTTCCACAGAGAAAACTTAAGAGGACTTAAGTACAGACCAACAGAGCTGCTGTGTCCATCTACTAAAGTAGTAAACTCATTTACTAAGACATAAAAATGTAAAAAAAAAAATGACAGGGTCAACCCTAACCTGCAGCACCATGCGGATGTTGGCTTTTATTTTGGCGGAGTCTTTGGTGAGTACCTCTGTGAAGCTGAAACACAAAAATAGCCAAGTTAGCATTTCTTATTCATGAGACCATCCCCCCCACAGAGGTTGTTTCAGATTTTAAAAATCTAAATATGATGAACAGACGATGTGAGCTGAGTGGTCTTCTTCTCGATGAACCTCAGGGCTTCGTTATGAGTCATCTCAACAAAGAAACCATAACCAACTGCCACCAAGATCCTGGACGAGTCCTCCCTAATGGACGGCAGAGGTATAACTGATGGTTTAGTATTTTCTATTCTGATAAAAGTTAAAGTTAATTGTTTGAATTATGTATTCAAAACAGCATAGAACTGATAGTTTTATTATGCACATTACTAAAAACAGATTATGTCATCAATGTTCTTTTTAGACTGCTCATCTAAAAACTACACAAAGCAAACCTTACACTTCAGCCTTGACAAAGAAGTTACAGCCCAGATCTACATCTGTCTTCAGCCGCTGAGAGTCCAGGCCCTGCAGGAAACACACAGACATGGACTAAGCCTCACGCCACATATGAAATGTTTGGAAAATCACTTTATTAATGAATTGATGGCTACATAATTTATGGATAACCTGAGGGCAGAAACTACTACTTTTAACAAGCAAGTATTGACTAAAAATCTAATATTTAACAGAAATTACAATGAATTTGTGCGTGTTTATACCTGTAAACTGTGTATGACGTTCTTCAGTTGCAGATACTGAGAAATCTTCTCAAAAATGTCATCTCTCTGTTCCAACACCCTCCTGAAAACAAACAAATCAAAGGGGATCGTTCCTACATACACTCTTACAGTAAAACCTGTGGCATATCTCCTCTTTGGCCTTCCTCTCTTTCTCCTACCTGGTAGCTCCATCTCTAACATTCTTCTACCAATGTATCCACTGTCCCTCCTCTGCACATGTCCAAACCATCTCAATCTGGCTTCTCTAGCTTTTTCTCCAAACCTTCCTGTCTGTGTTGTCCCTCTAATGACCTCATTCCTGACCCTGTCCATTCTTGTCACTCCTAAAGAGAATCTTAGCATCTTTAACTCTGCCACCTCCAGCTCCTCCTCCTGTCTTCTGCCTATTGCTACTGTCTCTAAACCATACATCATGGCTGGTCTCACCACTGTCCTGTAAACCTTTCCCTTCACCTTAGCTGACACTCTTCTGTCACAGATCACTCCTGACACTTTTCTCCAGCTGTTCCATCCTGCCTGTACTCTATTCTTCACCTCTCTTCCACAGTCTCCGCTGCTCTGAACAGTTGATCCTAAGTACCTAAACTCCTGCACCTTCACCACCTCTGCTCCTTGTAGCCTCACTATTTCACTGTTCTGCCTTTCGTTTACACACATGTACTCTGTCTTGCTGCGACTGACCTTCATTCCTCTTCTTTCTAGTGCAAACCTCCACCTCTCTAGGTTCTCTTCTAGCTGCTGCCTACTCTCACTACAGATCACAATGTCATCTGCAAACATCATAGTCCATGGGGACTCCTGTCTGACCTCATCTGTCAATCTGTCCATCACCAAAGCAAACAAGAAGGGGCTCAGGGCCGATCCTTGATGTGGTCCCACCTCCACCTTGAAGTCTTCTGTCCTTCCAACAGCACACCTCACCACTGTTGTACTATTCTCATACATGTCCTGCACCAATTTAACATACTTCTCTGCCATTTCTTTCTTGAATATTCTTCCTTTAGGATCACCCCTACTCCATTTCTTTTCCCATTCGAACCTTGATAAAACAGTTTGTAGCCTGCTCACTTCACTTTAATATATGTGTATGTGTCTTTGTAACGCAAAGGAAATATAACACACACAAACAAACAAACAAACAAACACACACTTACTTTAAATCTCGCTTCAGAACCTCATCGATAAATGCTTCGTACTGTAACACTTTCTGCTTCACGTTATCGTCACCCTTAGCCGGGACTGACATATTCCCTTATTTTTCTCTGCGTAATTAATAAGACGCTAAACACGTACTGTCACACAAGACTTAGCAAAACGTCACGAACTACTTCACACTTTAAACATTATACACGTTCAGTCTGCGAACCGGAAGTAGAAATATCCATCTACAAAAGTACTTCCGCAAATACAGGACGCGCCCACTTGCAGCTGTATTTAAATACGTAACAAATTCCAAATACAAACAAGATGACGTGATGATACCGTTATATATGTATATATATTCTAGTTAAAGGTGGCGTGATTGTTGTTATCCTAAATCCCTCCAGAATAGCTAATACTTTCCTCAAATTTGTCGCACCGTGGGCTGCACTTTGCTAAACAGGAGCTCGTTTAAACGTCGACTAGTGTGTTTTTTTTTTTTAAATGATCGCCGTTAGATTTGTTTGTAGAAACCTTAAGACGTTTTGATGACAGTGTTACGTTTGTGTCATACGCTTGTTATCATCATGTCATAGTTAAAGTTTAGTCTGGCTTAGCTGGTATCCGAGCCACACGGTTACCAAGGTAACGCGAAAAACGCGTTTTAAATTCCTCTTAATATATGATTTTATTTAGTTGATTTAAATAGAGCACTTGTTTCATTGTGAAAGGAAATTTAAACCTTAATAAACTTTACCAAACTGATGTAAATTAGATTATTTAAAAAAAAAAGACGTTTGTGTTTTAGAAAAGAAAACTAAGACGCTGTCTGTGGGACTGAGATCTGAGATATGGAGCAGTATAGTATCCTGGGTCGGATTGGAGAAGGAGCCCACGGCATCGTTTTCAAGGCTAAACACATCGAGGTAACTCCAAATACATCGTATGGCTGTCACACAGTTCACATTTGAAAACAATACACAAATGCACATTACAGCAGAGCTGGTGTTGCTCCACTGTTACTTTCAGTTATGTATATTTTTTTGTCTTCACTCTCTGAGTGTTCCCGTTGGAAACGCATACAACAGAATGTGGAGGATTTTCTGTCAGAACTGATTGGTTCAACCATGAATTGATGGACGTGTTCATCTGAAGTTGTTGTTCTGTCAGACAGGAGAGACTGTGGCTCTTAAGAAAGTGGCCATGCGGCGACTCGAGGATGGTATCCCGAACCAGGCTTTGAGGGAGATCAAGGCACTGCAGGAGATAGAGGACAATCAGCATGTGAGTGTCAGAGGATGTCAGATGTTGGTCCACGGGATGTGATGTTCAACGTTTTCCCTCGTTTTTCTTCACATTTCGCTCCTTGTCAGGTGGTCAAGTTGAAGGATGTCTTTCCTCATGGTACAGGCTTTGTCCTGGTTTTTGACTACATGCTCTCTGACCTTTCGGAGGTTATCAGGAACCTCTGACGCCAGCTCAGGTCAAAGGTTACATGTTAATGTTGTTGAAGGGCGTGGCCTTTTTGCATCACAACAACATAATGCACCGGGTAAGAATCACACATCAAGTCTCCCTTCAAGAATAGATGGATAATAATTATAATAATAATAATAGATAGGTTAACCTTCGCAGCAATAATTACCTGTCTTTCTCTGTTTTACTGTGTGCATGCGGTGGGGCTCAGGACCTGAAGCCAGCAAACCTCCTCATCAGCTCCTCAGGTCACCTCAAGATCGCAGACTTTGGTTTGGCTCGACTCTTCAGTGAACAGGAAAAGAGGCTGTACAGTCACCAGGTGGCCACCAGGTGACTGTAATTTAGATCATGCCGTGTGTTTAGATCAATACTTCTCAAATAGTGGGGCGGGCAAGTTGAGTTGGCAAGAGGGGGGCGTGAGGGGCTTCCAATGGAATATGGCACGCTGGACCTAAGTGCTGTAATGTTTGAATGATAACAAGCCTCCGGTCACTAGGTGGCAGCAACATACAGTGGTTTGTACAGATAAAAGTATACGTTTCCCCCCCCCCCCTCCCCAAAAGTCCATAATTTAAGAAGGTTAATTGAAGACTCTTAGTTGAACATAAGTGTGACTAAACCTAACCCTATCCTGTCAATGAATGAATGAATACATTTCATATTCAGAAATGATATATAACATTATAATATAATGCATTTTGCCATGTTGTTGTATTATTATTATTATTATTATTTACATTGTGCAGTCTGTTTAGCATTTAACTCATATATATACATATATACATATATACATATATACACATGTATGTATATACACACACATATATATAAAAATATATATACACACACACATACTGTATATATTTGCAGTACAACAATTTCCGTACTGTAGGATCAATGAAGTTTAATCTAATCTAATCTAATCTAATCTAATCTAATCTAATCTAATCTAATCTATTGTAGTACTAAAGTCCAAAACTTCTACGCAGGACCCCTTTTCAATACATTTTTAAATCTCTGTAAATTGTGATGTACCAGAACTGATCACAATGTGGGGGGATTATTGTTTCAAAAAATCAGGTCAGGTCCTGTCACATTCTATGGGCTTTTTTTAATTCTTTAAAATGTGTCTGTTGGTATTGTCAATCAATTACTTTATGTTTAAATTTTTTTTTTTTTAAATAAGAATTTCATTGATATGTTTTACACACATAAATGTAGTTTCAATCACGTCATTTCCCTATTTCTCTTTGTGAAGGTGGTACAGAGCTCCTGAGCTGTTGTATGGAGCCAGAAAGTATGATGAAGACATCGACTTGTGGTAAAAAAAAAAAAAGAAAAAAAAAAGTTATTATTACTTCTTTTATTACACATTGCCACTGCAGTATTGCTAAATATCCTGGTTGTACTTTGCCTAACACTGGACCGTTATTATGAGGTCACAGCTGAAAAAAGATGGCACCGAAAGCTAACGATGGCCAGTGCTAGACAGTGATAGGCATCTTGGTTAACATGTGTTTGTGTGTGTGTTTGTCTGTGTTTTGTGCATCTCAGGGCTGTTGGATGCATCTTTGCCGAGCTCCTGAACTCATCTCCTTTGTTTCCTGGTGAAAACGACATTGAGCAGCTGTGCTGCGTCCTTAGGGTGCTCGGAACGCCAACACAGGAAACATGGCCTGTGAGATCACCTGCACTGATCTTCATATTCCCACACTTGACCCTACACCTGATTTCATGACCCCATAACCTTTTGGTTTTTCAGGAAATGGTAGATCTACCTGACTACAACAAAATCACTTTCAAGGAGAATCCTGCCATCCCTTTGAAGGAGGTTGTTCCAGACACACCTCCTCAGGCCGTGGACCTTCTCAACAAATTTCTGGTTTATCCCTCGAAGAAACGCTGCTCTGCCTCGCAGGTAACACACGCTGAAGAGCTGCTGATTCCAACACATGCTTAGTTACATCAGGTTAGGTTTTGTAGTGTAGCGCTCAGCGTGCCTGCTTTTTGAGCAGAGAGTTCTGGGTTCGATTCTGAACATCTTATTCACATCTTTTGCATCCATCTATCCATCCATCCATCCATCTATCCATCTATCTATCCATCTATCCATCTATCTATC